AGCTGCTGAACTCATTGAAACCAGGTATGAATCAAAAATGGAAATCACTGAATACTCGCATACTAACGTTTCAGTTTGCTTATCAAAAATATATGACAACATGACTTGTGATAAATCCCGCGAGAAATATGTAAGTGCTGTTGATGAGTTCCTGAAAGAAATGCTTCTAGCCCCAGATATAGAATCTAAAGTCCGAGCTATATCAACCATAACAGTATTGCTTATGGGTCCAATAGATGTTGGAAATTCAATTATATCGAGAGATGGTACGTTTTATATATTTAATTGATTGATTTAACAATGTATGTCTGTGCACCTATTCCAAATATTAATATTTTTATTTCTTTGTAGGTATTATTGAAATGATTCTTACAATGGCTACAACAAATGATAAAGTACAGCAAAAAATTGCATGTGAATGTATTATTGCTGCTACATCAAAGAAAAGTAAGATTACACCAATTGTGAAGCAAGGTACCCAAATACTTAAAAATTTGTACAAGAGTGGTGATGATGATATACGTATTCGTGCATTGGTTGGCTTATGCAAACTTGGCAGTAGTGGTGGAAGTGATGCTTCCATTCGCCCATTCTCGGAAGGTTCTACTCTTAAATTAGCCGAAGCTTGTCGTAGATTTTTAATACATCCAGACACCAATCCAGATACAAAAAGATGGGCCGTAGAAGGGTTATCTTATTTAACATTAGATGCAGAAGTTAAAGAAAAGCTAGTTGAAGATCAAGCCGCATTGGTAGCCATTATGGGGTTAGCTAAATCAGAAAAAACATCAGCGATGTATGCTCTAGTATCAATATTTGTCAATTTGTGTAATGCGTATGAAAAACAAGAAGTTATTCCAGAAATGATTGAACTTGCAAAATTCTCCAAATGTCATGTACCAGAAGACCATGAACTAGACGATATTGATTTTGTCAATAAGAGAATCACATTGTTATGTAAATATGGTGTCATCACAGTCCTTGTACAGCTGTCCAAAACAGAAAGTTCAAACATCAAAGAACTTATTTCCCGACTATTCAACGCTATATGTGTTCTACCCGAAATCAGGGGTGAAGTAGCTAAATTGGGAGGTTTAAAATCTCTCTTGGAACTTGCTCATTCAGGTACACCCAAAGGCAAAAGACAAGCTTCTCAAGCTCTTGCCAGAATAGGAATTTCCATCAATCCAGAAGTCTCGTTTAAAGAACAACGTTGCCTAGAATCTGTACGGCCATTCCTTGGCTTATTACATCCGGACTGTACAGCTTTAGAGAACTTTGAGGCAATGATGGCACTTTGTAACATGGCGTCTGTGAATGAAAGGGTACGCAAGAAGATACTAGACACTGGTGGTTTACCGCTCATCGAGAGTTATTTATTTGAAGAACACCAAATGCTTAGGAGAGCATCTGCCCAATGTTTTACCAATCTTATGATGTCTCCGGATGTCATAAAGATAATTGAAGGTGAAAATGACAAATTAAAAATGTTGTTCCTGTTATGTGAGGAAGAGGATGAAGATACATCTTTAGCTGCTGCTGGAGCAGTTGCAATAGCTGTGTCAAATAGTGTACCGTGCTGCCAGAAATTAATGAAGTTTAATAATTGGGAAGAATCTTTGAAGGCTTTATTAGCACATCCCAATGATGCAATGCAGCATAGAGCTTTGGTGATTGCACATAGTTTAATAAGCACAGATAAAGATATAGCAGAAAAAATTTTTGCTACCGACATCATGGAGGTATTAATGGCACTGTCAATAATGGTAGACGAGAAGAAAAAAGAGATTAGAGATATGGCCAATAAATGTTTGAAATTAGCTGAAAGTTTAAAACTTATAAAAAAAGCTGATTTTGAAGAAGAATAAATTGTTGAATCAGATTACATTTATATTCATATTATATTATTAACTACCTATGAAATTCGAACTATACTCTTTTTCACAAGAGAACGGGGCCGTGTTCTGGAAAAAACGGGTTGTTGACTGTTTGTAAGGAATTTCATGGATGAATGAGCCAATGAAGCTCATTTGACATGCAAGAAATGGTCCAATTTTCTCATGAAAAGGAGTAGGTTAATATTTATAAATTATAATATTATTATTGTTTCTAGTGTTATTGAATTATTATTTATGATATGATGTAATTTGTATTATGTCATTTAAAGCAGCATATTTTATTCATTATGAAAAAAATATGTTTTGCTTTATTATTTTAAAATTTGAGTTGTGGACATTTTTCCCATGAGTGTTTTTGGTATAGTAGGACATCTTCTCCTAATACAATTTGATGCAGACCTTTTTCTCTTATAATTTTTAAAACGTTTATTATTAAACTATATAATTAAATTTATTATTTAATATGAAATTATTATTTTTTTGCCTAATATCTAATTTTGGCGAAATACAAAATAAAATTTCAAATAATTTCATAAATTAAAAAAATTATGTAAATGTATATTTTTGATCATTGTTTACTTGAAACAATAAAAATTGCTATTAAAATAATAAAAATAATTATATGTAGTGTTTGAAACAAGTACTGTCATAAACAATAATATCCATTTGATACACTAAAAAGTAATGATTAAAAAAAATTGGTAAAAAAATAATTTTAAATAAATAAAATACCTAAAATTCTTTAGGACAGGTAAAAAATGTTCAATACAACACCAATTTTTGCCAATTTTGACAACTAATATTCCTTCAGGAAACGCAAAACTAATTAGTCGATTGGTATTGTTTTCATTTTCAAACAACAAAAATGGTTTTGGAAGTTCAAAAATTTGAATTTCTGTCTTTACACTAAATTAGACATTAGACAAACAAAAAATAATTTTATATTAAATAATAAATAATAGATATAGTGGTAAGATGTCCTTCTTCACCGTAAACAGTCGGGGGGAAATACAATATCTAATATTGTAATATTTAAATTTAGCAATATTAGTGTATAATTAATTAGAATTAAATAATATTTACAGGGTATTCAATAAAAATAGTTTTGTTACAACTTAATACATTTGAAAGAAAAGTATTATTCGGTTTATTTTTATACTCAATCTCTAAATAATTATGAAACACTGCCTTCTAGTCATATAAAATTAATTACATTTTGTTCTATAGTTAATTTTTATTTTATAAATTGCTTATGAATATATTAACATTACATTGTATTGTAAGATTAATATTAATTTATTTTTATTACTTGTCTAAAAATTGTTTTGATATACAAAATGTTAGATATAACTTTTTTAAAATCATCCTAACCCTTTATGAATTATTGATGAGAATTTTATTAAATTAAATTAATATTAATTGGTATTTTTACTCGTATTCTTATAAAGTTATTAACTGCCATATTGTTTACTAGCTAATAAAAAGCATAAATAGATAGTATTTTCGTCTCTTTTTTTTTTTTGTGATGTTCAAAATGTGTCATAAACATAGACCTTATAGAAAGTGCATATTGTTTTGGTTGAACTTTGACAATTCTTTCCAAATACTTAAGTATGTACCAGTGTTTCAGAGCTAAACATTTTATTTTGCATGTTTCGACATTTTTTTTTTTAGAGTATTTTTAGCGTTATTGTGTCGTTTTGTTGGTTTTAATGCATATTTGTTCAATTTATTGTACAAATTTAGCCTATTCAAAACATTATCTTAAGATAAAGAGCATATTTGCTTGGTTTAAGGGCATTTAAATCCGGCCCCTAATCATAAATAATTTATAAGTATCTTCTTAGGCAGGCAGGTAATTTTTCAGAATTAGATAAAGGGCACTTGAAAACATGGCCCGAAAAAAAAGGTTCAAAAGGTCCTAATACTTTATAAACTTGGCCCGGTTTTTTCGGTAAACGTGACTGTCATGTTAATTTGGACGGAATAGAAATAATGTGCACTAATATTCTCATATCTAATTAAGAATTACATATGACATATCTAATAATATTTTTGATACCCATTTTGCATTACCCAGACGACTCATTATGCTCTAAAAATTATTTCGTTTTATTTTCATTTTCATGTTATAAAAAATATGGAAATTTGTTATGGCAGAATTAAATTATTTTAATATAAATGTATAATGTTGTACCTATATCGTAAATCATTAATTTTTTTTTTTCATTGATCTAAATCCTTGATACTATGACCATTAGCTTTTTTTGTTGGGGGATTTGAAATGCGTATTTGTGTGTGTGTGGTAAGGACGTGTTGCTAAAAAAGTAAAAACCCGGGTGAGTGGGTGACCCATCCGAGTGCTAGTTGTTGAACGGCCGGTACGTACTCGGAGCGTGGCCGCAGTTTGAGCTTACGACCGCGCCTCACCAGACCACCAATCATTAATTATGAACAACATGATTACATGAACGTTATAAGTTTATAACGTTATTTTCCTTTAAGTGCACAAAATTGTTGATATTGGTCTACCGAGTTGGTGACTTATAATGTTAATAAATTAAAATAGGTTCCTACTGGTACAATTTTAAAATATTATGTGACGAGCTAGATGGTATTTTTTTTTTACTTCTGTCTATGAAATAAAAATTCGTGAGCAGTATATATGTAAGTCACTAGTAAGTAAGCCCCAAGTGGTGTTACAGGAAATAGCCAATAGGTATATGCTTTACCATTGACCAGAGTCCAGAGTCTAATACTCTGTGACGATTTATTAAAATAACAAGTCTGATAGTCGAGAATCGACATATATGGTTTCATCTGATTTCTGTGCGCTGCGACGGTCACAGATATTAAAATATGACAAATATATATATTGTATACGGTATACCTGATATACCTTATTAGCTAGGTACACAATGTAGAGAAGATGTCTTCTCTACATCGATGTGACGATGTAAGGAATTATTTTTTACCTTAACAATAATTAATAATAATAAATTTGATAATAATATTTTATATCTATACACTTTTAGTTACCAAAAAAGTCAAAGTATTGTTATCTGCGTTATCAGTAAAAAAAAAAAAACAACAACAGTGAAATACCGATATCAGATTTGGATTTTATTGTGTTAATTGTTAAATAAGATTTTCTAATTACATGTTTGAATTATAATATATTAATAGCTAATAACTATGCATACTTTAGTGCTTCTAAAACCATTGTGATATTATAGTTAAAAAATACTTTCGTAAGTACCCACCTACCTATTTATTATATTTAATGGCTCATAACAATGCTATAGGTTTACATCAATATTAGGCACATAACATTTTTTTTACCTAGGTGTTCCTACATTATTTTTGTTTTTTAAATGTTGCATACTCCATTTAAAAATACCGCTACTGTTATAGTTGCTTTTTGGTTCTGATTGTTCACCTGTCCAATAGTTACTGATTTTCCTGAAAACACTGGTCTTTGGTTTTGCTGTTGCTGTTGTAGTTGGAATTATTTCACTGTCAGACTCTTGATCTATTGAGTTAACTTCATCTTGATAAATAGTGTTTTGGTCTGCCGTAATTGATTGTTCAACATTTTCAACATGACCTTTTTTATTATTTCCCAATGATCCAAAACCAAAACTAGTCCCCAAATACTTATCATAAATTTTATTGTGCACAATTTCCTGATCTCCTTTTCCATCACCGTTTTTTATTCTATAACCGCTGCCAAAATGAAATCCTATTCCAACATTTCCAGAAACACCAAATGAATTTTGTAGTTCGGTAGAATGATGGTTTATTGTGGACTGGATTTTAGTTCTAGGATAAAGAACTCTTTCCAACAGTGATTTTTGCACCCTATTCGGTTCATTTTGTTTTGGTTCAGTAATTGCTAATATGTTAACTGTTGTTATTAATATCTGTTAAAATATAAAATTGACTAAATTAATTATACAACTTTATTTACAATAATTTGTTTTAATAGTTCAACAATTTGTAGGAAAGAGTAAAGCTTGGCAAGAATAAATTCTTGTCAAAGCATGCTCAATTATAGATTTTATTGGTTTATTAAACAATAATTTTTTTTCTCATAGATGTATTTTTGGGCTGGGTACAATTTTTTTGTCACTCTTTTTTTATTGCCATAGAAAAACAAATCAACAAAAAAAATATGCTATTAAATTTCTAACAAAATGTAGCATGGTATTAGATATTTATACATATGAACAACATTTTTTTATGTAATTTACTAAAATACATTGATTTCTATAACATTTTCTTCCTTTTTCCCTGCATTATTATAATTTCTTGGGAAAAAAAACATTGTATGTATAGTATCTTAAAATTAAAAAATGTAAGATCTATGTAGTTATTAAATACATATTGAATAGCATTTTTTTTAAACTATTTTTTGCATTTTAAAAAAATAAAAATTTCTTATTTTTTGAAATGTAGTGTCAATAGTCTTACATAATTTTTGTGTCATGTGCACTTATGACAGCATGACATTGTATAAAAATAAAGCCAGTACTATTTTCTGTTGTATGTAATTGAGATTTTTGTATTGCATTTAGATTGGTTTATACCATATAATTAAGTTTCTAAGAAACTAAATACCAGAACAGAGTGATTTTCATACAGTGGTTTAAAAGAAAATGCAATCCCTATAATATTTAATAAAAATAAAAATTGGTTGATTAAAATCAATTTTTACATAGAGCTATTTATAAAAAATTGATTCTAATTTAAATATTATTAAGTATTTACTCAAATGTAAAAATGGGTAGGTATCATTTTTATAAATTATATCATTTTATTGTTTTTAATGGATATAGTTCTAATCTAACTTAGGTTTAAAAAAATTATTTATGGTTCATTATATATACTTACTAAATAAACTAATAAGATCAATCCCATTTTCAAGTTTTGTACCGTATGAAAGGTATTTTTTTTGGACAAAAAAATATACTGTTAAGAATGATGTAGGACTACTGAACTGTATTTTAGTAAAGGCTATTTAGAAAAAAAAACTATTAGAATATTTGAATTAAATAAACACTTTCACTATCCCTCATCATGGTATTCTGAATGTGGGCTTGTAAAAAGTTGTATGCTATATTTTAATTAAGCTGTGTATAATTAAAACCTAATTTAAAATGTGTGTTTAAGTACATATTACATTTGCATTTTAGACTTAAAATTTACAATAACCTCTAATTGAGTATATATTAGTTAATGACCATTATTATTTAATAATTAATTAATGATTAATGACCCTATATTGTATGTATTATTACAAATATTATATAATATATTTTGTTTGTATTTTACATAGATATTGAGATTGAAAAGTTGTGTTTTTATACATTTTTTGATTTTATCCACAAAATATTCATATTTTTACTTTTAAAATATTAATTAGGATACAAAAATTAATTTTTTTAGGTATTGCCAGTGTTGGCTTGGGTTCGTGGCTGTCCTGAGAATTTTTGGGGTCCAGGGTTAATTAATATCATTCAAACAAAAAGTCATATAAATTTTTTAAGGGGGCAGTTGTATTTAATTATGGTGCATCTTAAAAAACTGATCCATGTGCTTTTTGTCTGCCAGACCCGACACTGGTTATAGCTACCATGCGACTTACAACAAAGTATTCCATTTCATACAATTTTTATAATTAGTATAAACTTATTAGTTATTAAGTTATTATTTATTATATAAAAAAAAAAAAAGAATATTTAACATTATAATTTTATTAGTTTGACAACATTTAATTTTTTTAACAGCATTTTAATTTTAGTATAGGTATTATAAGAAAATTTTTTTTTTTGAAATGTACTACCTAAATTTTTTACTATATTAATATTTATACAAATAAATAATTGAACAAATCATTTTTATTTCAGATATCACTTTTCAAAAATGACAAATCAATCTGATGAAAAATCTGACATAGAAACAGTTGAAGAAGTTGAACCAAAACTTAAATATGTACGTCTCACTAATGACGTCCAAACTATTTTAACAAAAGACGGTGTTAGTTATCTTGCTGCTCATCCCAAGTTCTTGTGTATCGGTACTAACTGGGGCTCTATTCATTTATTGGATTTTGAAGGTAACATTGTAAATAATCGGCAACTGCGTCCACATACTGTAGCAGTTAATCAAATAAGTATAGATAGTCGTGGTGAATTCATTGCTACTTGTTCAGATGATGGTAATGTATTTGTTTATGGTCTTTACACAACAGAAGATTCTCAAGAGGTCTCATTAGGTCGTTGTGTAAAGTCTGTCGCAATAGACCCTTTATATCATAAATCTGGCAATTATCGTCGTTTCATTACTGGAGATGATCGCCTTATGCTTCATGAGCGAACTTTTCTTGGACGTACAAAATCTGTGGTCTTATGTGATGTCGAAGGAGTCGTGCATAATATGAGGTGGCATAATCGTTTTGTGGCTTGGGCTTCAAATATAGGTCTTAGAGTATATGATATAATCTCTCGATGCTCATTAGGCCTTATTAAATGGGATAAAAGAAATAACATAATACCTAGTACTTATAGATGTAACTTGACGTGGAAGGATAGTGGAACATTACTTGTTGGTTGGGTTGACACAGTAAGGATTTGTGGTGTTAAACGTCGACTACAAAGACTTAAGGATGTTCCTGAGTATATAGTAGAACCACTCTCTATGTTTCGTATAGATTACTTTATTTCCGGTATTGGACCTCTTAATCATAATCAATTAGTAATATTATGCTATTCAAAAGAAAAAGATGAAAACGAAAAAGCAATGAGACCACAATTATATGTAGTTGAAGCAAAAGAATCAAAGTATGTTGAGTTGTGTACTGATAACTTGTCTTTACGTGACTTTCAAGATTTTGGTTGTAACGATTATGCCCTCGAAAGTTTAGTCGTGGAAAATCTATTCGTTATTGTTAGTCCTAAAGATATAGTAGTGGCAAATCCGTGTGATGCGGATGATAGAATTGAATGGCTTATTGAGCATAACAAATACGCCGAAGCAATGGAAATAGTAAATTCTAAAAATATAGTTTTAAATCGAAATTCCCGAATATCTGTGGGCAAAAAATTTTTAGACCATTTATTGTTCGTTGAAGAATATTTGGAGGCTGGACAACTGACTGCTGAACTTTTTGGAAATGATAAAAAACTTTGGCAAGAAGAAATATTTAAATTTGCTCAAGTTCATCAACTTCGTCAAGTAAGTGCTTACATACCAAGAGGTGAAGTAACTCTAGATCCTCATATTTATGAAATGGTATTATACGAGTACTTAAAACTGGAACCCGAAGGATTTTTAAAAATTGTAAAACAATGGTCACCTTCACTGTACAATGTGTCTGCTGTTACGAACGCTCTAATTGAACATTTAATAGTAAACTCGAGTTCGGAACTATTAGAAGCCTTGGCTATTCTGTACACTCATTCCGGTAAGTTCGACAAAGCGTTAGGTGCGTACTTGAAGTTAAATCACAAGGGTATATTCCAGTTGATAACCAAACAAAATTTGTACCCGCTAATACACAATATGATCGAAGATCTGATGCAGTTGGACTGCGAGCAGACGATCAAGATACTTTTAGAGAAAGACACTGTGCCCATCGACGTGGCCGTGGCGAAGTTACAGCACAACAGGCTCTACCTGTATACGTATTTGGACGCTCTGGAGAAGAAAGACACAAGGATGTTGGCCAGGCGGAACTTGCATAAGGACTTAGTGTCGCTGTACGCGGCATTCGCGCGAGAAAAGCTGTTGCCACTACTGAAGCGGAGCGACAATTATTCCATCGCCCTGGCGCTGGAAGAATGCAAGCGGCTTGAGTACTATCCCGAAATGGTGTACCTATTGGGTCGGATGGGCAACACCAAGGACGCTCTGAATCTGGTCATGTCACAGCTGCAGGACATCGAGCAGGCCATAGAGTTCTGCAAGGACCAAAACGACACCGACCTTTGGCACGACCTGATCGGCCTGTCCTTGGACCAGCCGAACTTTCTCAAAGTGCTATTGCGGAAAATCGGCACGTACGTGGATCCGCGAATTCTGATCCGTCGGATCGGTAAGCGGACACAGATACCGGGGCTGAAGGACGCGCTTGTCAAGATGATGACCGACTACAATCTGCAGGTGTCCGTGGAAGACGGATGCACAAAAATTGTCGTGTCGGATTGTTTCGACCTGCACGAGCGGCTGTACAACATCCGGAGGAAAGGGTGTGGAGTAGACGAACAGCACTTATGTAGCGCTTGTCAAAAGTGCATCGTCGGCCAGGACACCGTGGGAAACGCTTTGATATTCTACTGTCAACACGTGTTCCACGAGGAGTGCATACCCACGGATGGATTGGAGATGACGTGCATAATTTGCACAGACAGCCGAACGAAACAAGCGACGTTCCAGTGAGTATACCTACATGTTTCGGGACACGTGAGTTTCGATTGCGACGTACGGCGTCCCGTCGATCGTTTTGTGTGCGATCTTTCATTCAGATCTACTGTGCGTATACAAGATCGTGTGGACTAACCTGTACGTGCTCATTCGGTTATTTTATGATACGTCTGCGTTTTTCGCGGCTACTTATGTATGGTTGATAAGTTCGATAGATTTTATAATTATTGTTATACCTACCCATGAAGATGTTTAATTTTTTTCAAAATATTATTTTTAATTGAAATATTTATATTACCGGCATGATATTAATTATTATAATTTTTTCAATAAACTAAACGTGTGTGTTTGAAATCTATACAAGAAAAAACCACACAATATATACGTTGACATCTAATTGTTTTTTCTTATTTATGTATTACTAACGGCTTATAATTGTGTACATGGATAAAATAAAGTAGAAACATATCACCTATCATGACGCGACTAGCGAGTCAGATTGGCCAAAAGCATTCTGCAAGGTCAGCCACACTTCTATATTGAAGTTCATGTATGAGGAGAGGTAGTGAGCGTGTTTGGTTGTATATTACTGCCAACCGGCCAACAGTAAACAATTCAGTGTTTGCCGAGGCCTCGTGGCAGTCGGAAAGTGATTTCTAAGTACCCGAACCGTGCAAATCGTACGCATTAGAAGTATGATATTATAAATATATTTTATTTCTAACATCTTGAGTTTCGATCGTATTTGTTTTATCAATATTTTTCGAAAGCTTTGAGTCGCTGCGTAGAAAATATTCCATTTGTTGTTCAAGTTGAATAAAGGTAAGTTTTACTATAATAATTATAAGGCACGTGAATCGTCTTAATAGATAAGATATAGATATCTACTCGTTTTTTACTAACCTAATTTCTTAAAGCATATTGCTTGGCATTTCAATATATCTTATAAAATTAAAGTAAGTATCATGCATGTACTAGTATAGGTAATATAAAATATGTTAAAGGTTGAATTTTGTATTTTCATTAATACTAAGAGATGTTAACTAGGCGTACCTATTTATAGCTAAACTCAGATTTTAATAATTTTGAACTCGTATAAAGGAAATTATGCTAAACTAAATGGCAAATAGTTTTGAGTTAAGTATAGAGAAATACAGTCATAACTTATGACAGTAATTAACACAGTAAATTTATAAGGGTAATTACTTATTTTTAAATCTTAAAATAATTTCAACAGCATGTTTGAAGAAAATAATAACAGAGTTTAAAAATCAGTTTTCGACTTTTCATAACTATACAAATAGTTAAAAAATATATCAACTTCAAATAGGCATTATAGGTAGTTTTTATTTTTTAAATCATGTTATTTCTCATAAACTATTATCTATTTTATTTGTATTACTTATTTTAATCTTTAGGGTACCTACCTAACTATTAAACCTACTGCATTACTTATATTTTTCATTAGTAGTTTACAGTTAAAAGAAAATGTATTAAAACTTTAACGTCTTATAGGTATTAACAACTATCTTATGAAAGGTAAAACGAAATATGCTTGTATGAATTGAGTATAATTTGCATTATTGTATGTTTTATGTTTATTGCTATACACCTATACTTACCGTCACCGATATATAAAAGACATAATATAAAAGCAAATTAATCACGAATAATTAATTCCATTGTGATTAATTACTTATGATCC